GCCCCTTCACGACATACGGCTGCTCCCAGTCGGCGCAAAGGCTTCCAATCGGCGCGTGGGCCCTCCTCTTCATCTTCCTCCTCGAGGTCGGGGTCGGGAGGTGACTCGTTGGATCACCGCGATGGCAGCGGTGGCCAGGAAGGAGCGAGGACGGGAAGGAGGGAGGCAGCGGAGCGTCCGACGCCCTGAGGCGCCTGGCAAAGGGAAGCGCTTCGAGGGCCTCGACGAGGATAGGATCCCAGGTGGCGGAGGAGCCCCCCCGGGGAGGAAATGCGGCGGTTTGGTGGGGCCGGCCGGCCGCGGCGGGGATTGCCTCTGGGGTCTACTTGGATAGCGGCTCACAGGTGCCACGAGACACAGCGACGGCAAGCACCACCACCAACCACCAACACCAACCACCACCACCAACGACCACCACCACCAACCACCACCGCCACCCGGGGGTCTACTGAACTCCGCGGGTGTCGAGCGCCCTCGCGCGCGAGGCCGACCGGCGCGCGGTTAAACATTCGACTAACAACCGGACGTTGTACATACGGTAGTACGGACCCTAGCGGCCGCTGCCAACCGGCAGTGAACACGGACGCTGGAGCACAAAATCAGATGACAGGCGCACGATTGCGGACCTCACCCACACCCACACCCACACGCACCGGAACCTCTACCGGGTGACGCCAGCCAGTAAAAATCTCGTCGGATGTTCTACCGGTTCCCGGCCCCTCCCCCGCCCCCCGGCGCTCCTGCGGCAGTGACGGGCGCTGTTGCCGCCACAACGGCGGCGCCGCCCCGCTGCGAACAAACAATTCGCGCAGATCCGCAAATGTGCACGGAAACGCACGAGAAATGCACAAATGACACCCAGCCCCGAATACCGGTAAGTTATAAGAGTTGGCGTATGCTATGGAATGCGCCCCGAAATGCAAACAAGTGACTGTCCGCGACGAGGCCGGTCGCGCTTGACAGCAGCAACAGCAGCAGCAGCAACAACCACCACCGCTCATCACCATCTACCGCTGTGTATTGGCGGATACCGCCGTACCGCCGTGCTATCGTCGTTGTAAAGTTATTGGCGGCGCGCATCGGCGAGCCGCGGGCGCTGCCCGCTCCCATAGTCGGGGCGGGGGGCGGTCCCAGACTGCCGTACCTCGTACGACAGCCTGAACCAGACGCAGCGCGAAGCGGCGGTGGTGCCGTCGCCTCCTCTGCCTCCCCCCCGGGGGCTGGCCCCCACGTAGCCACATTAGGGCCCGCTTCGCATCACATCACACGTCATCACATCACAACACACTACACCACACCACATCCCATCCGATCAAAGGTATACTGGCCCGTGTGGCCGGCGCCGCACCTCCGCTCAACCCGAGTTTGCTCGGTCCTTCGAACCCCGGGTCGCATTTCCGGCTTGCAAATACATATGCCTACAAACAAACTGCAGCACACCTCCTGACGCCTCAAGGCCTCATGAGGCCGTTCCTGCCTCCCGCTAGGATGGATAGACAGATAGACAAGTTAAATAGTCCAGTGCTCGTAAGGCTCGGCCGCGAGCCCGCCCAAACCCGCAAAAGGCCCTCGTATCGTGGGCGGGGCCAATGCTTACCAGCGCACATAAGAAAACTGCTCCTGCACTCGCCCTTGCACCTGCACCTGCGCCGCATTGAACATCCTTTCCGCCTCCCATTCCACATCCCGCAACCCGCATACCCTAGACCCCCCGCCCTCCGCTCCCCCTTCCACAACCCTCAGGCCGCCCAAACCTCCGCCCCTCCGCCCCCCACCCGCCCCTCGCCCTCAGCTCAGCCCTCAGCTCTCAGCTCTCGGCGCTCAGACCTCAGACCTCGGTGACATCCACCTCGTAAGTGAGTACAAACTGGCTCTTGAGCTCCTGCATGCGAGCCCGGTACTCCTCCAGCAGCGCAGCCGCCTCGCCCATCCAGCCCTCCCGCGACGCCGCCAGCCCCTTCAGATGGTCCGCCCGGATCACCGCCAACGCGTCGCGGTGCCGCGCCTCCGCCTCCTCATACTGCCGCCGCAGCTCAGGCAGCCCGCGCGAGTCGTAGTGCCCGCCCGCCGCCGCCATCGCCGCCTCGTGCGCCGCCAGGCCCGCCGAGTACGCCGCCGCCATGTGCTGCCGCATCGCGCCGTGACGCGGCACCAGCGCCCGCAGCGAGCCCTCACTGCCCTCCAGCGCCGCAATGTGCTCGTTTCGCAGGTTGGCGGCGGCGCGCGTGTAAGCCGCCTGCGCCTCCGCCAGACCCACCTCCCCCGTCGGCAGCACCCGCTCCAGGAAGGACGCCAGCAGGCCCGACAGCTTTGACGCAGCGGAGGCTTGCTGGATCTCCAGCTGCCGGCCCAGGCGCTCCGCCTCCGCCAGAATCTCCTCGTGGGCGGCAGACAGCGCGGAGCGCTGCGCCGCGTGCCAGGCCTCCGCCTCCTCCACACACGAGGCCAGGTGCGCCAGGGAGCTGGACTGGTGCTGCGCCAGGGCGCCCATGCAGGCGGCGAAGGTCTGGGCCCAGGACGCGACCTCGTTGGCGCGGCTGGCGAGGCCCATCTCGTGCAGGGAGCGGGTGCGGCCCATGTACTTGTCGTGCATGGCTTCCAGGCGGTGGAAGTCGGAGCCGCGGGCGTTGGGGTCGGGGGGCGTGGTGACGCGGCCGGCGGGGGTGGCGGGGCTGGAGAGGGACAGGGTGGAGATGCCGTTGGGGGTGGAGGGCGGCCGGGTGCTGTAGTTGGCCATGGCCGACGCGGCGCCGTTGTCGAGGGTCTTCAGATAGGCGTTGGGGTGGACCTGGCCCAGGCCGTGGCTGGCGGCCTGCTCCTGAGCGACGGCGGCGGCGGCGGCGCTGGCGCTGGCGGCCGCCGCGGCGGCGGCGCCGGAGCGGCCGGGGAGTGGCAGCGGCGGTGGGCTGGAGATGGTGGGCACGGGCGGGGAGAGGGGCGGCAGGGAGGGTGGCTGCAGCGCCGCCGGCGGGGGCACTTCCACCTTGGCGCCTGAGAACCGCCGCTGCTGCAGCTCCATGTGGCGGCGACTGGCCTCCTTGACCATGAGCGAGTAGTCCTGGCGCAGCTGCGAGGCGGAGAGCGAGGGGGCGGAGGGGGCGGAGGGAACAGCGGGGCGAAACCCACTTTTTTCTTGTTGTGGTCGCTGTTGTTGTTTCTAATGGCGTTCTGATGGTGTTCGTTGCTGTTACAAAGGGCTTGGAAGGCCTTTGAAAGGAGGAGTCGTTGTGGGTCTTTGCCCAGCGCGGCGAGGTCGGGTGTTCTGAGAGCGAGAGACACGGCAGGAACAGCGGCATCGCTTCGAGGAAGCGCGGGAAAACGCGGCCAGAAGCACCCGAGGCCGGATGTGTGTGGGCGAGGGCGGGCAGCAATGAGAGTGTGAGGGCCGGGGGAGCGTCAGCCAGAGGCGTCGGCGCCTACCTGGGCGATCCGTGCGATGTGGCGGGCAACCGACTCCTCGAGGGCGTTTTGGTACTCCTCCACCTGTGCGTGCAGCGTGGGGGCAATCGCGAGAGGGAGTTGGGGGTGAGTTGCATCACGGCAGCATCGCTGTCAAGAGCCAGGTTCCGGTCACTTTATTTTTTGCGTGCACGCGCATACTACGCGGCGTTCAACCCCAACAACCCCCTCACGAGCGGCTATGGCACCCGCTACGAACGCCAGCGTTGCCTGTTGTCTGCGTTGTGTTGCGCGTAGCTTTCATGGTCCGGCGCCCGCCACGCGCAAGGCAGAAGTCCGTCACAGTGCGCGCGCCAGAAATACTCGTTGCATGCTGTGAAGCCCTACCTCCAGCTGATGTTGCTCCTGCAAAACTGGCAGCTCCGCGAGTGATTTATCGTGGGCGGCATGGTAGTCGATGCTGAATTGCTCTGTCTGGCCAATAAAATGATTGCGATTCTTTCGAAGAGTACTGCAATGGAGGGAAGGCGGAAATGGGGGTTCAAGCCAGCGCCTTCGAAGATGTCCACCCCACCGCCGATGACCCGAAGTAGGCAAAAAATATTCGCCCCCCACCCCGACTTGCTTTTCGTGCGAGATTTGAAACTGGGAGAGTCCAGTAAGCGATGTCTGTGAGTGCGCCGTTGACGGTGGTCCAGACAGGTTTCCTGTTCCAAGGCCCGACCGTTTTGGTCCTGGCAATGAAGGCTCCGTACGTAGCGTGCTGTTCGGAGACGCAGGTAAGCTCAACACATTTCGTTCACCAAACATAGACGAGGCGGGTCTATGAAGGACGGGCAACATTATGCCTAGCCGCTCGAATGCCGTGAGTTGCTGTGGCGAAAGCTGTGCAATACTGTTACTTAGGTAGGAAAAAGGACCATGCCTATAGGTAAATGCGGTTAAAATGGACGGAATGAGGATCTTGAGGGGCTGCAGTGAACGTCGCAGGCTCTAAGGCCCTCCGCAGGTTTCGGAGGGCGCAGGCATCTGCATCAGTCAGTGGAAACACCGTAACTTGTGCATCGGACGTTTGTTTTCAACCAACTAATATGAGTACAGTTTGCTCTTGTTGCATATATTTTTTTGCATCTACTTCTCCAGAGGACTGCGCGAGCGACGGTTGCCTGGCCGTTCGTTGACCAGTAGACAACATGGGGAGATGGCCCCTTTAATGTCAGTGTAACTAATTGTGAAGCCTGCTCAACCTCAACCTCTATTACATCATCGCCTAGCGGAAGTCATCGAAATCTGCAACCACGAAGAGGATAGGCTTGCAGGATTATTGCAGGCTTGGCGCCCCTATAGACCAGTTTAAAAATCTTATTTTGAACCTGCTCATGTGAGGCTGGAAGGTGGGATATGGCTTGCTACCCTGGACAAGGTGGTCATGGCACCCAAACAGCCTGGCCGGAGGTAGTGCTGGCGGTGCAGCGGGGAGCTCGGCTTCTACCTCCACACAGAGCGATGTAACGAAGAATACGGTAACCGCGTGGGTGACCTGGTGCCGAAGGTGAGCGCGGTCATGCAGGATGGAGAGCCTACAATAAAACCGTGTCGTACGACCACGGTGGGACTCGAACCCACAATCCCCGCCTATTTCCGATTGTACCATCCGCAGAGCGGCTTCGACCGGAGGGCGATGCCCTATCCATTGGGCCACGCGGCCTGCTCGATGCACAAAACATGTTGATAAATCTATTATCTGTGGTACTCCAACGGCCACTGCCCCTTTGCGGTCGCGTGCCCCTTTGGGAACACCATTCGGATTCCCCTTGGTGTCATCATGGACACCGGGTCCACTCTGCCCTATTTCCCATCTGCGCCCATCCTTGTTCCCTTGCGGTTGTGGTTGTTACTTACCCCCTTGCGGTTGTCGCTGCCACAACGGGCTGCGGGCCCTCGGAAGGTACCGTAAGGAGACAGCCCCCCTGTTGGCGCTGCACCGAGTGTCCCGACTCCCGAGTGTTCACTCGGTCCTCAATCCCACTTGTGCACTGCCCGCAGTCCTGTGCCCTGTGCCCTGCAAAGGCAATCCAACGACCCCCGCGCCCGTCACCGCGCGCCTCGTGCGCCTTTGTACACTGCGCCCCACGCCCCTCCCTGCCGTGCCTCCTATTTCCCGTGCAGCCGCTTCTATGCACCCCTGGGGCGCGGGGGGTTTAGCCCCCGCGCAGCCGGTTTGCTTCCGCCCCCCTCCCCCAGCACCGCGCTCTCCCGTCCTCCCACAAGTCCCACATCCCCGTGGTCGGCTCTTTCGTGGACTTCGGGATACTTGCCAGCTGCCAGCCCAAGGTGTAGGGGGTGATGGGGATGAGCGGATGACACGGACAAAACAAACTCCCTGCGTCGTGGTACGGCAACATAGGGTCTAGTGTTTTGGTGCAAGGCCTCATGTGACAGTCGCCTGCAGTTGCGTCCCGTCAGTGACTCAGCGCCATCCATACCGGTACCACCAGCTCTAATCAACGCAGACCAACGGCAGATCACCAGGCGCTCGCATCCCGTTTCGAGTGGAGAAGGCCTTCTGTAGGCGCCACGCCCGCTCCCGTGTCGTCCCGCCCCTGCTGGTGCCGGCCCTGGTCCCGGCCTCGGGAGGTGGGATCCCCTGCGTTCCCGACGGCATTCGGGTGCAGCGTGTCGCTCAGGAAACGGGGTGCCGGTGCCCCGTACAGTTGCCTCCCCCTCTGCATGCCCGCCCTTTCTGGCGAGCGCCGGCTGCCCCACCGGCCCACAATCATGGTAGCCGTCCCCATTTGGCCCGTATTGGGTTCTTTGGTGTGCCGTGAGCCCTACCCCGTGCCCCTCGATGCCGCTTGCCCCTTCTCGGCCGCACGGTGTGCTCCCTCTCTTAGGCCAAATCTGGTGCACGGTGCACCCTCGCTGACCGACCCCTCGGTGAGTGCCGTGTCTTCCCCCTTGGGCCAGGCCCCTCGTGCGATGCGCCACCTCCCTGCCAATTCAGCGACGCGTGCCGTCCCTTTCCCCTTTGCCATGCACTCATTGCCTGCGACGTGCGAAGCCCACTTTCTTTGTGCCTGCTGCCTGGTCCCGTGCGTGGTGCGCCCCTCCCCTGCTGACCCCGCGGTGCGCGCCGCCCCCCTTTCCTCTTGGCTCAGTCTCACACATGGTGCACCCTCCCCACGGTGTGCACCGCCGCCCTTCTCGTTATATTCGGTCTCACGCTCGATGCGCCCCTCCAGGCAACCCCAGCGGCGTGCGCCGCCCTCCCCCTTTTCCACCCTGTACCCGATGCCGCGCGCCATGCGTCCTCTCCTGCTGTCCGAGCGGCGTGCACCACCCTTTCCCGTTTCCCCATGGACCCGATCCACGCGTGGTGCGCCATCCCTCAGCGGCGCGCGCCGGCCCCCCCGGTCCCTTAGTACCCGTGATGCGCCCCTCTTCGGCCGACCCCGCGGCGCGTGCCGTTTCCCCTTTCGCATTGGCTCGGTCCCGGGCACGGTGCACCCCCCCCCGGCGCGCGCCGCCCCCTTCCCCTTCCCCTGTCCGGTCTCACGCTCGATGCGCCCCTCCTGGCAACCCCAGCAGCACGCGCTGCCCTCCCCCTTTTCTGCCCTGTACCCGATGCCGCGCACCATGCGTCCCCTCTTGCTGTCCTTTCCCGTTTCCCCATGGACCTGATCCGCGCGCGGTGCACCCTTCCTCAGCGGCGCACGTCGCTCTCCCCCCGTTCCCTTAGTACCCGGTCTCGCGCGCGATGCGCCCCTCTTCGGGCCGACCCCACGGCGCGTGCCGCTTCCCCTTTCTGCCTTGTGCCTGATTCCGCGCGTGACGCGCCCCGCCTACAGCCCCCCGGCGCGCGCCACCCTTTCCCCCCGAACCCGGCCCCGCACGAGATGGGCCAACGCTGCCGAACCCGCGACGCACGCCACCCCTCCCCGTTGGAACCGGTCCCGCGCGCGACTTGCCCTCAAGGTGTGGGCACGCGGTGCGCAGTTGTGAACGACCTGTGCGTGGCGGTATCCGTCTCCCGCGTCGCCTGCCCCCCCCCTCGTGGCCTTGGCCTGAGACCCCTCTCCTTCCCTTCAGCCCAGGCTCGTCGTGCTGACTGACCTGGCCCGCGCGGGCCGCCCCTTCAACCTTGGTGTCCGGGGGCGGTGGCTCTCTTACATGACGTGCGGGGCTGTTGCCCGGCAGCCGCGGGCCCAAGCCTTGTTTCCCCATCTCGGTGTTTGGCAACAGTCCTCGACTTCCTGCTGGAGGGGTTGGCGTACCTTCCCGGGGGGGGGCATACCTTCGTTGTTTGGTCCCGCCCTAGGCCCAGTAAGCCCTCGAGTGCGTCCTGAGCGGACGCGCGTGCTTACTATTAAGCGGTCCTTCTGCCTCCCGCTGGCTGCTGCCGGTCTCTCCGATCTGGCGTTCGACAACGACTGGCGGCCCAGTCATCCCGACTAGCATTGTTGAGGCGTGGCAAGGTGTTGTGTTGCCTCGTTTCCAGAAGTCGCATGGTTCCGCTCATTGACAGCGGGTGCGACATAGCTCCGAGGATGAGTGTGACGAGCACTATACACAATGGGCCCCAGTTTGCCATTACTGAGAAGGTAGCAACGAGGCCGACTGCCTGCGAGTTGATATAGGCCGCAAGAAGTACCGCTGAACCGCCAAACAAACACGAAAAGGCGAGAAAACAACGGGGAACAATGCTACGGGAAGCTGATGTCGTACTTTCATCACTTTCGGGTGGCCAAAGTACGGCGCATGGTTTACAAGGTTTACGGCGCAGCTCTCTTCTTGTATGTATGCCTTGATTGACTTTTCAGACGGTGCATACTTTCCAAAGCATGCAATGTGTCTCCGATTTTCGTTAAGTCCAACCCGGCAGAAATATGAGCTCCGATCCGGCAACATCTCCCATCCCACCTGGGGCCTCCTTTGGTATTGCCCAACGTCGCAAAGGACCGACGCGCACACAGGTTTTTTGGGGTATGCAGTCCCTCCGCAATCTTCGCTTGCTCCGGGAACATGGACAATCCTACAGGACGGGGCCTCTTAATAAGTGAGGGCATAAGGATAGTCCATGGGCATGTACGGAAGGATATCTGTTGGGAAAGGATATGTGTTGGGAAGGGCTTCGCGCTTCGCGCTGGGGACCCGCCCAAAAAAGGCAGTAGCGCATCCAGGCCCCCACGAGGACTGACGCTGTGTCTGGCTAGGTCCCTTACACCTAGGCCACAACGCACACGGGCACCTGGCACGTTAAGAAGGCGTCAGCACAGCTCAGGGTGGGACAGGTCAGGACAGAACAGGTGGTCATAGGAGAGGAGGTAGAGCAGTAATACCCTCCTTTTGGAACACCTTCGGGTCCAGACTCGCCCGCCACTGCATGCCTGCACACGCACGCGCACATCTCCCTGTGGAGTTACGGTGGATAACGGGGGCGGCTGCAAATTGGCTCGGCACGGCGTCGCCCGATGGACCGCGGGGCTGAACCGACCCAGGCCAGTCCAGGCCAGACACCAGCACACACCGAGCAACTGGCCCCCGCCCCGAGCTTTGGTTCTGCGCTGCGCCACTGCCCCTCTTCACACACTGCCTTCAGGTGCCGTGCGGTGCATCGCACGCACCGCACGGCGCACCCCTCCCGGGACCAAGCGCCCCAAGCAGCCTTCCCGGCATCATACCCAGTCACCAAAACAGCACTGCGGGCTCTGCGCACGGCACCGCCGCCGCCCTAAAATGACATTGACAGTGATATTAGTTACGAACCCAGGACAAGGCCTCCCCGCTGTCGCGCACGCATGCCACACGCCCACCTCTGAAGTACCCTAAACGCACCTCCCTCCAAGCGGCTGGCGACCGATGCCTCATCAAGGCGGCCGCATCGACGCCTCCGATGCCTCCGGCAGCACGACACGACGCAGCGCAACGTAAGACCGCCGCCACAGACGGGTCCTGACCCCACTACAATGTGCAGATCCGAGCCCCGTCCTCGTTCGTTCTGTCGCCACGGCGGGCTAACCAGGCGCCCAGCAGACGCCCCCCGCGCACCGTACGGTGGGGCATCCGGCTCCTCACCCCCACCTGGGGTAACGGAAAACACACACACACACACACTTGCTAATTCACTCCACCAACCCTGCAGCCCAGTACGGCTACGGGTCCCGGCAGTACACAGCTCTATCCAGTCTCGCGCCCAAGCCCCTGCCCTGCTCCACCGTCCCCATCCTGCACACCAACGGCCCCCCCCCGCCGTGCCGTCCACTCTCCGCCCGCTCTGCAGCCCCTCCCCAGTCACCCGTGCCACCGAGGCCCCGAGGCCGCGCCCCGGATGACTAAAGCTAGCCAGCCAGCCAGTGCAAACCAGCGCCGGGCGCCTCTCCAACCGCCGTGTCCCCCTGCCCCTTCACTGCAAGGCCGGCCGCATACCCGCCACCCGCCAAGATTGCTCCTAGAAGCTCCCACAAGCTCCCACCCGACGGCCATCACCTCACCAAGACGGGAACCAGGGCCTCATCCGCCCCAACGACCGACCGTCTAACAAGTTTCCGTGTCCACCTCATCGCCCCATGCTCGCGCCGGCCCCCGCGCGGCTCCCGCCGACCGACCCGCGGGTCGCTCAACCATCGGAAGGATGGCCCTTCAAGCACCCTTCCGGCCAGCCCAAGCTCAAGTGCCATGATCCCTCCCTGGATCAGCTTTGCGCCCCAA